ACGATAACCAGGACCTCATATTCTCAGGTGGAGAATCCCAATCCCTGTCCTCACTGCACCTAAATAATTAGCAGTGATCTGACTGCAGGAGTGGTCTGAGCCCTGAAGACATGATCAGAGGGAGGAGAAGGGGCTGCTGAGTAGGGTTGCCAGGGAAGCGCTTATTCCACTGAGCCATCCCCCCAGCCCCAAATGGTTTGTTTTTGCAGAACCGGGGATTGAACTCAGATCCCTGTGCTTGTCAGGGAAGTGCTTATTCTACTGAGCCATCTCCCCGACCCTCAAAGGTTTTAAAGAAATGATAGTATAGTAAATGATAAGGTGGACAGGGTAACTGGGGCTGAATGCTTTGACAGAGTGTGGGAAAAGGGTTGAAAACATAAATAAAGTAGGTACCCAGGATAAAATGGAAATGGAAGACAGATCAATAACATAATTCTCTACTAAACTACAATCTTTCTTTTTTTAAAATTAATTTTATTGAGAAACGAATAGCTATGAGACAGTTTCAAAACAGGTTAGTAGGACAGTTACAATAATTAATACATTGCATGTTGTTGTCTGCATAAATAGCTATTCATAGTACAAGAGACAGACATGATATCCTGTCCAAACCCTATTAGTACACACCTTTCTTCTCATTGAATTAAGAAAAAGTAGCTGTATATCTATCCTAAGTATTTTGTATATACAGATACAAAATAGTTCTTCATTCATATCCCCTTTTTTGTTTAGTTTTGTCAGAGATGGGTATTCCATTGCCATTGAAATATTACAGTTGAGCGAATTCAGCAAAATAATCCAATACAGTAAAGTACAATTTTTCAAGATGAATAAAACACCTTCATTGGATAAATGGTCAATATTTGTATATAGATCACTGCCTATAGTTAAGTGACTATAGTTATGTTCATGTGGCAGGGAAATGCTCCCTCGAGATAGAAAGTCACACCCGGACCTCTCGAAGACAGTAACTACATAGCAATACCTACCTGTGGCTCTGGGTGCAGCAGTGTGGGACGTGCAGGGTGCACATGGTGGGACTATTTGGCCGTGGGGTGTGCCACCGTGGTTAGAGCTGCTGCACCCTGGGCCTCATCAGAAAGTCTCTCTCACAGCTGCCCTGCTCTGCTGTGGTGAGAGGAGCTGGTCACCTTCCTGTGTGGGCAGCAAGCAGTGAATGTTGCAGAGTGTGACCTGGGGCTGTGACAATCACATCCTGTATTTTTTTTCTAACTTTTCACGGTGCCTCCATCCTGTCTTACAGAATAAACAAGAAACCCCAAATCAGGCAGCCTCCTTTGTCTCGTAAACCTTGCAATGGAAGGCAACAGAGGGCTATGGAGGGAAAGCCTGTCCTGAGGACAGAGGGTCCACAGGGACTCAGGTCGAGGTGGGAGCCCTGGGAGGCTGAGTTCATGCACAGGTGGTGCTCAGCCTGATGAGCTCAGTCCAACATGGAGACCAGGTACAGGCATGGACAGCATGGCCCACACAGCAGGAGTTGTCTCCCTTGGGATTGTTATTCCAGGATGATGTGTGTGCCAGATGCTGTGTGTCACATGCTTTGTCCTCCTTGTCCCTGATTCCCCTCAAATATAAAGGGCTTGCTAGGAGTGAGATATAGGACAGGTTCAGGGGATATAGGAAGATTTCCAGGGAATCCTCTGCCAGAACATGTGGAGGGTGTTCCAGTTCCCTAGAGTCTCACTCTGCTCTGGAAGCTGAAATAGTTCTGCCTTGTGCTAAGCCAATCTCCTGAAGGAGCCTGCGGGGCTGAGGTCTGGGGTGGCTGGGCTGAGCTGGACTCGGCTCTGTGAGGAGGAATCCCCAGGGCAGGCAACTAAGGCCTCTCTGATCCCCAGAAGCTGCCTGCCGTTCTCCAGCCTGTCCACCCACAGTGCAGAGCTAATGGGCAGTCTCCTTCAGGGTCTGATAGGAACCTCTGTGAGACAACTATTTGTAAATAAATTCCACATGTGTGTTTTATTACTCCAATCTGGTAGATTTCAGTCTATTTGCCAATGCATACAGTATTATCAATTAAATTTTCAAGGGAATCTCAGCTCAGGCTTCTCAGCACTCTAAGTGCAATTGCTGTTCTAGGAGACTTGTCAGGTCCATGTGGGGAGAGCTTCGTGTCA